TCCCCTGTACCTGTCTTTTGGTTTTGTCGACTGTACCCCAGTTTCCCACAGTGGTAGCCTCTTTATTAACACAGACACTCTATTGGCTGCCCCCTACCTTCCTTTCCTTCTCCACTTCTCAATTTCCTGGAATAAGCTACTTTACTTAAATGTTTTTCTCAGAGAACCAAATCAAGACAGTCCTAGAGGGCTACAAACCCTCTGAGACCAGCAGCACATGAGAGGGATTCCAGAGCCTGCTGGAAGCTGTGTTAGTACTGCAATGTGGTGAACTGGAACCACAGAGACAGAAACAGCAGGCTAATGGTAATATGGGGGCTGAATTCTGTTGAGCCACTTACAGAGAGACTGAGATTCCATATGACTGCAGGTGTGCAAGCAAGCCCACCTGAGATCAGTTGAGCTTGCCTCCTATCAGCAGAACTGTAGGCTTCTGAGCAATAACAAAGGATGGTTATTTGGACTATAAGATTTGGGGTCATTTGTTATGCAGCAATAGTAACTGCTACATGATGCTTGATTTTTTTTAATTGGGCTATAACTGACAAAATTGCATTTATTTAAAGCATACGATGTGATAATCTGATATACAAGGGGAAAAAATGCCCCTGTGTGTTACCAAATAAGGAAGAAAATTATGGAAAGAGGGCACCGTTGCTTCAAATGAGATGGAGGGTGGGCAGTGGAGGCCAGAGCTGGCCAGCAATTTTAAGTGGAGGTGACCTGATGTTTTCATGTCACTGTGGTGAGAGAGAATTGGAGGAGGATCTGGCAGCAGAAGCAGCTACTAAAGTACCAGAGACTCTAGAATGAAACACACCAGCCTACAGTACCATCTGCCCCCGCCAAGCTGTAACTTCTTGATTCTCAAAAATCCTCCATGAGGCAAAAATGGGAGAAGATATTTGCAAAACATATATCGGAAGAAGACTTGTATCTAGAATATATAAACAATTCTTGCAACTCAATATTAAGACAATTCAAATTTTTTTGTTAAACGGAAAAAGATCTGAACAGCCACTTCACCAAAGAAAGTTTTAAAATGGCAAATATATGCATGAAAATATGTGCAACATCATTAGTCATTAAGGAAATGCAAATGAAAATCATATTGAGACATCACTACAAAATTTACAAGTATAATTAACATTAAAAAGACTGACCACACCAAGTGTTGGCAAGGATATGAAGCAACTGGAACTGTCCCAGTCTGCTGATAGAAGTGTAAAATGGTACAATCATTTGGGAAAATAATTTGGCAGTTTCTTAAAAAGTTACGTTTCCCATTCGATGTAGGTATTCCATTCCCATGAAATGAAAGCATATGTCCGTACAAAGATGTGAACATGAATATTCACAGCAGCTTAATCTAGAAAAGCAAACTGGACAAAACTGAAATGTTCCTCAACAGGTGAATGGATGAACAAATTTTAGTATATCCATATAATGGAATATTACTCAACAATGAAAAGTAACAAACTAATGATGTACACAACATAGTTGAATCTGAAAATTATTACGGTGAGCAAAACAAGCCATACTGTACATACTGTACATCCTATTTCCATGTATATAAAATTCTAGGGGATGCAAAATTAATTTAAAGTGACAGAAAGCAAGGGAAACAAAGGCAAAAATGAACAATTGGGACTTCATCAAGATAAAAAGCTTTTGCACAGCAAAGGAAACATCGACAAAACCAAAAGACAACTGACAGAATGGTAGAAGATATTTGCAAATGTCTTATCAGATAAAGGGCTAGTATCTAAAATCTATAAAGAACTTTAAACTCAACACCCAAATAATAAATAATCCAATCAAGAAATGGGCAGAAGACATGAATAGACATTTCTCCAAAGAAAACATACAAATGTCCAACAGACATGAAAAAATGCTCAACATCACTTGGCATCAGGGAAATATAAATCAAAACCATAATGAGATACCACCTCACACCAGTCAGAATGGCTAGAATTAACAAGTCAGGAAATGACAGATGCTGAAGATGATGAAGAAAAAGAGGAAAACTTTTGCCCTGTTGGTGGGAATGCAAACTGGTGCAGCACTCTGGAGAACAATTTGGATGTTTCTCAAAAAGTTAAAAATAGAACTACCCTATGACCCAGCAATTGTACTACTAGGTATTTACCCTAAAGATACAAATGTAGGGATCCGAAGGGGCACCTGCACCCCAATGTTTATAGCAGCTTTGTCCACAATAGCCAAACTATGGAAAGAGCCCAGCTGTCCATTGACAGATGTATAAAGAAGATGTGGTATATATATGGAATGGCATATATGTGGTATATATAATGGAATACTACTCAGCCATCAAAAAAATGAAATCTTGCCATTTGCAATGATGTGGATGGAACTGGAGGGTATTATGCTAAGCAAAATAAGTTAATTAGAGAAAGACAATTATCATATGATCTCACTCATATGTGGAATTTAAGAAACAAAACAGAGGATCATAGGGGAAGAGAGAAAAAATAAAACAAGACGAAAGAGAGGGAGACAAACCATAAGAGACTCTTAATCACAGGAAACAAACTGAGGGTTGCTGGAGGAGAGGGGGGCAAGGGGATGGGGTAACTGGGTGATGGGCATTAAGGAGGGCACATGAATAATGACCACTGCATATTATATGAGACTGATGAATCACTGGCCTCTACATTATATGTTAATTAATTGAATTTAAATAAAAAAATAAAGAGCACCCTTGCACATAAATAAATAAATAAATAAATAAATAAATAAATAAAATAAAATAAATACAGCGACAGAAAATAGACCAGTTATTACCTGGTGATGGGACGGTTAGGGGAGGGAAGGATTATAAGGGTATCAGGGAACTTTTGAGAATGATGTATATGTTCATTCTCATGGATATATACATGTGTCAAAACTCACTGAATTGTGTTTGTTTAGAAAAATGTTCTCCTAAAGCTAATAAGAGGGTGTGGTACCTGGTACATTTGGTACTCCTATTCTGGAAAATTCTACTCCTTACCCAGCATTCTTAGGTGTTCCACCAAGGCTTACAAATTATATTTTTTAAAAATATATATTTTTATTATTTATTTATTTAAGAGAGAAAGAGAGAGCATGAGCAGGGAAGAGGGACAGAGGAAGAGGGAGAAGCAGACTCTGTGCTGAGTGGGGGCCTGACATGGGACTCAATCCCAGGACCTGGGATCGTGATCTGAGCCGAAGGAAGATGCTTAACTGACTGAGCCACCCAGATGCCCCCAAATTATCTTTTGTAGACAAAATGGAATGGAGTAAATATGCATTTTGAGCTGCATTCTGCTGTAGGCCTGCCAACTTTGGAACCTAGAGTCAACCTCTGTCCCCAGCAGATGAGGAAAATGAAAGGCAAATGCGACTGGTCCAAGGTCACTTATCAGGTCATGGCCAACCCAACAGTTTGTCCTCCCAGATTCCAACTGTGGATCTGTGCTCAAGTCACACCTGGCTTCCTAAGTCCTTCATAAATTTCCATTGTTTTTTTTTTTTTTTTTTGGTGTGTGTTTTCCCTCTGAGGGGTGGATTGAGACCATTTTCTCTGTAGTTCTGAGTTTTTAAAGACACTCTTGGAAACCAGTCTCAGTTTTCAGTGCAACGGTATTCCTCCTTCCATTGTATCCCCAGGTCACAGCTCTTTCGTCCTCCTGAGCCACTTTGATCTTTGGTGCCTTAATCCCAAATCTATACCCAGCCAGCCTCACCCCTCTGGAGCCCTCATGAGCCCAGACTCTGTACCGGTAATCTGTGGATCAGTCTGACATACATGTGCTTAGCCGGAGTAATAAATGCCTTCATTATCCTGGACCACCCAGCGAATATTTTATCTTCAATATGAATGCCTGGCTCCACAGAGGCCCGTTGTTCTGCACCCTTAGGCTGTGGCGAAGCCTGACCATAATCTCCCTGTTCATAAAGGACCCACAAGGCTCAGGTTAAAACTTTTGTGAGCACTTGTAAAATCCTTTGGGAAATCAGAGTAGTTTATAGCAGTGTCTTATGCCACTCCTCTCTCAAGCTCCTCTGGCCGGTTCGTGGGGATTTCCAAGTGACCCCATGCACCACACACAGAGTGGCCACCAGCACCTGCCTCTGCCCACATGCCAGGGCTGACTCAGGAGCTCAGGCTCCCACCCTACCCCCTTTCAGCCTCGGCCATTCCTCTTGAAAGGAGTTTGTGCTCTGCACACATCACAGAGATATGGGAGGGCAAAGGAAAGTAAAGCCACTGGCCTAATGAAACTCACACATTATTGACCCCCTTCCATCCTGCCTCGATATATCCTGGAGGAGAACGAGAGGAGAGGCCTGCAGGTGTGGACAAAGCCCCACCCTGGCTGTTTATCTTCCTGACGATAAAAACACCTCTTTGTTGCGCTAAAATGTTGCTGAAAATTCTGTTTTTGGTGGTGAAACATAACTTTTGTCGAATGGTCCACTGGCACCTTGTTTCTCAGTGTGGTCCTGGGACAAGTGGCCTCAGCATCAGCTGCGAGCATATTGAAAATGCAGAGTCTCAGGTCCCTCCCAGTGTTACCGAATCAGAATCTATATTTTCATGAGATCCTCAGGGGATCAGAGCCTGAGAGGATCTTCTCAAAAAACCACTGTTGTATGTTCCAGAAAGAGAAAGCTAATTGGCCACCTTGATACAACAAATGTGAAAGGGGTAGTTGTTTCCCAGGCCTTTTTGGCAGTTTCTCTCATTCTAGAATTCCCTAAAGGGTTGATTCCCCAGTGGCCCCAGTAGGAATTATTCTGGAAGAAAGAACACCATCCAGGCTGGGACATAGAGCAGACATGGAAGTCATGCACGGGCCCTACAGCAAGAGCTCCAACTCGCCAAGGATGATCGACTGCTCTAGAGCTCTGTGTTTTTCTTTTGCTAGATCCTTTTGTATCAGGTTATGTTATTGGAGATTTTTCTTGCTTTTGGAGGTGAGCCTGTATTGCTGTAAACTGTCCTCCTAGATTCACTTTTGCTGTATCCCAAATTTTGGGACTCCTGTCATGTCATTTTTGTTTGTTTCCATGTAATTTTTGATTTCTTCTTTGAGTTCATGGTTGACCCATTCGTTGTTCAGTAGCATGTTATTTAACGTCCATGTATACATGGTCTTTCTAGGTTTTTTCTTGTGGTTGATTTCTAGTTCCATAGCATTATGGTCAAAAAAGATGATTTCCATCTTTTTGAATTTGTTGAGACTTGTTTTGTGGCCTAATATGAGAATGTTCCATGTGCACTTGAAAGGAATGAGTATTTTGCTGTTTTAGGGTGGAATATTCTGCATACTCAAAGCCATCGTTTCCTTGTTGATTTTCAGCTTGGATCATGTCTCCATTAATAGAAGTGGGGTGTTAGAGTCCCCTACTATATTTTATTACTGTCAGTTAGTTCCTTTATGGTTGTTATTAACTGTTTTATGTATTTGGGTGCTCCTATGTTGGGTGTCTAAATATTTAGAATTGTTCTATCTTCGTGTTGCATTGTCTCCATTATTCTGATGTAGTGTCCTTCTTTGTGTCTTATTACACTCTTTTTTGTAGTCTGTTTTGTCTGACAGAAGTATTCCTACCCCTGCTTTGTTTTGGCATCCATTTGCATGATAGATGCTTCTTATCTGCTCACTTTCAATCTGTACGTGTCCCTAGGTCGAGGGGGTCAAGCTCAGTTCCCAATTTCGGACAAGTCAGTGTAACTGTGTAAACTGAGGCTGAGTGTGTAAACTGGTGAATGTTTGAGACCATGGATTTAAGAACAACAGGGACCTAAAAAAGTCACCTTGGCTAGTAAGGAGAGTGTGGGGCTTCTCTGGGCAAGGATATGGACCATTATCCTGGCAAGAGAGAACCAATCCCTGATCCATCAGGTCCCAAAAGGGAACAGTGGCTCCCATGGATCTGAGCAAGAGGCTGGGGCCTGTAGGGAATAGCATTCAAAAGAAATGCAATAGGAAATGCAGGCATGCTGGAAATCCAAGCCCCTAGGTCAGCATACATGTTAATGATTTTAGGCTCAATAATGGCCTTAAAGGTACACCTCCCATCTTTCCCACACACACAAAACAAGCAGGAAGAGGAATCCAGACATAATTGACAAGGATCCCAGGAGGATTCCAATCTTGGCAATGGTGAACCTGGAGCGCCAAGAAGGAGACTGAGGATGGAAACACCTGCCTGCACTTTGGCAATTTGCAAAATATCTTCCTCTGGCTTTGATCCATCCATATGCAGGACTTGATCTCCTTACCTGTATTCCCCACTTAGTGCTGATGCACTTCCAGAGATTGAACTAGGAAACTACAAGTTCCAAATACTGGATCAAAACAAATACAAAACACCACTTCAACAGAAGAAGCAGGTAATGGTCTTCCTTCCTTTAGAATGCACAAAGGAAGGTAGACGCTGTCCTGGGGCAGGAAGTCGTTCTGGGGAGCATAACACTGAAAGACTCCCAATTTCAGTGGTTGTTGCTATTCCTGTGAAAGGACCTGCAACCTCTAAATCTCAGGAGTTCTGAGGGGCTGTCTCTGCTGTTTGCCCAAATTCCTTCTACTGGAATGAACGTGTCCTCTGAGTAAGGAGATTTTGCAGGTGCCCTCTGGTAGCTAGGGAGGAGGGCTGGCTCTTCTCCTTCCTCCCACATACAAGAGCTGATGACTGTAAGATTCCTTAGCTCACGAATGACTGTGAGAGTCTGTACATCTTTTCCATCACTGTAGGAAGTTAAAGAACCAAACCACACTCCTGGGCTCTAGAAGAGTACAAGGGCTTTACTCGAATAATATTCCAGCATCACTTAAGTATTTACAACAATTCAGTATTATATCTCCCAATAAGTAAAGAGATGGGAGGAAGGGGTGTTGAGCAGATGGGGCGCACGCACCACAAGTACCCCAACTGCTGAGGAATGTGGCACTGCCACTGGACACGCGCTCTGCCCTGAGGTTGACTGTGGCCACTTCTTCCCCTTCTTGAGTGCTGCTGGCCACCTAGGACCGGGGCTCCAGCTGGCAGGACAGGATGTAGCTAAGGACAGAGAGACCCCTGTGAGTTGACCAGGAGCTGCCATTCAGGAGTCCCTCCCAGTGTTTTCCCACAGCTGGAGTCTGGCACCCCAGCAACAAGGCCTGAGGCTGCCCAGGGAAGAAGGATCGCTGGAGTGGCCAGCAGAAAGAGTTCAGCCCAACCCTCACCCAGCTCCTGATGGGCCTCACGTCTCATCCTCGCTGAGCCACTCCGTAGACTGGAACCAGGCCCAAAACGGATCCTTGGGCTCTATGTTGTAATTCTCTGCAGCCACCTGGAGCAGCATGATCTCTCTCATGACTTTGTATTCCTGGGCCGAGAGAGAAGAACAGGATGCTTCCAGGGTCTGGGGTGGGAAGCTACAGGGCCTGGTGAGGGTTGAGCAGCAGGTCCTGGGTCTTGGCACACATATCCACCTGCCTGCAAATTCATCCAGTCCCAACCTGTTCTCAGAGGTGAATCTAAATAGCCCTTCCTACAGGAGGTTCTCCTTGATGCCATTCCTCTGTCCCCACTTCCTGACTGGATAGGTCTTCCACCTCTTTATTATCAACCAGTCCCTGTCCATGTGAGACTGAGGGGATGGAGCCAAGGAATATTCTTCCCAGGGACATCTCTGATATCCAGTCCCCTACCCTTCCCTACAGGAAGTGCCACATGTGTTCACCTTATTCCTTTTCTGGTGGTTGATCTCATTCCCGTGGAAAGCAGACAACCAAAGTCCATCAGAAAAAGCCCACAGATTATTCCTAGCACTTTATTTTCACCACTTGTCAATATGTACTTAGGCCAGGACACATGAGGGGGTTGTGCATACATGGATAATGGGCCTGGCTTCTAGGCCAGACTCTGGAGGCCAGAGAAAGGAGGACATGGGGCAAATGGTCCACCTACAGGGACGGAACCAGTCACACAACCCTCTCTGATGACAGAAGGGGAGGACAAAACCTCAGGCAGGAAGGGGCTACTAGGCTACTGAAGTGCTTGCTGATGTGGAGGGTCCTGACTTCACACTCCCCTCACAGGCAACCTCAGAGGGAGAGGCTGAGGTCCACTCAGACAGACCTCATGCAGCTTTGCCTTCAGGAAGCTCTGCTGCTTTACCAGTCTTGGGCACCTGGACCAGTGTCCTAAGTGCAGCCTCCCCTCACTCATCACTGAGTTGGACAGGAGACGCCAGCTCACAGTGTTAGCTGGGAGGCTGTCATGAGGGGAGGTTTGCCAAGTACTGAGACCTCAGGGCTCAGGACAGGGGCTCTCTGCTCCCAAAGCGCAGAATTCTGGGCCCTCCTCTACAATCCTCAGGCTCACCCACCTCCAGATAGTCCTCCATTGCAGTATCCGGCATCACCAGATCAGTGAGGAAAGTGCCAAGGTAGGGGATGACACCCTGTGTCATGAGGGGTAGTTTCGGGATGAGTCCCTGCTCTCTGGTGCCCACAGGGACCCTCCCCTGAAAATGCTCCAGCCTCCTGGCCCACCCCACGTTCCCACATGGAGCAGCCTAGGATCCTTAACCTCCTGACCGCAATGCCCTTTCCCCTCACCCTCCCAGAACATCAGACTCTTCCTAATCACCTCCAGGTCCTGCATTTTGAAAATCACAGGGTACATAGCCCCAGAACCCTCTCCACCCACAAAGCCCATTCTGTATCTAGCTTTGTAGTCCCTCCCCCTCGTCAGATTGAAATAATAATTTGAGAAGCCTTGGCAACAGGAGGCAGAGCTGGAGTCGGATGGCCCGACCTGTCCTAATTTGGAGGCTTCCAGCCCTCAGGGAGGAGCCCCTGTCCTCTGACACTTGAGGCCCTGGACCTCAGGCACACTCACCTTCTTCTGCACCCTCTTCCAGCCTCTCTGGAGGTTCATCAGCAGGCTGGCAAATTTATTAGATGGCTGATCCTGCAGGGTCAAGAACATGTTCTTTGAGACCAGAATACCCTCAGCCCACTTGACCCACCATCTTGGACTTCAGACCCTACACATGTGACCTAACTCAGCTGATAGCTGATGCTACATTATCCTGAAGCATGCCATGAGTGATTCTAGAAGAATCTCAGCTCTAACACACCGTCCGTGTGTGACCTTGAGCTTGCAGCCTGGCCTCCCTGAGCCTGTTTTCTCATCTGGAAAAGTGAGAACTCCACCTAACTCCCACGGTCTTCTGAGGACTCAGGGTCCTCTTACTATCTATCATCACTGCTGTGGCCCTCAACCCATCCCAACCACATCCCTGAGCAGAGGCCTGTCCTCAGGCCTCTCAAGGTTTGTACGGGCCCCATCTGGGCCAGTGTTGACACAGAGAGACAGGGGATCTAGGCTAGGGAGTCTGGTTGCGCAGCACTTGCTTATCCCAGCCCCAGTGGAATCTTCCCCCAAGGCTGTCATCACATTCGTGCCATAGGCTACCCCTCCCCCCAGGAATGCTTTAGGCCATTCCTTACTTCAGCCATGCAGGACTCTGTTCCCTCACAGCCCTCCTCTCTGTCCAGAACTGCCCCTTCCATGCTACCTTGATGAGCAGTTTCCTGACCTAGGGGGTGTCTTCAGCACACAGCTTTTTAAATTTTTGAAAGCTCTTCCTGAATCGAGGAAAGGAGGCAGGATCAATGGAGGAATACCGTGGCAGGGCTGAGTGTGAGTCCCTTTTCTGTGAGAACCCCAAGAGTCAAAATGCCTGGTTGAGGGGTTTCTCCGGATCCTCTGGGCACTCAGGTGTTTGTAGGACATGGCAGGGAGCTCTCATGTGGGTCATCCTGGGTCTCCCTTCCCATATGAATGGAGCAGCTCTGTTTTGGTCAATTTGGGTTTCCAATGAGTTGAGGGGCTGTCCATAAACCTAGGAAAATATTTCCTTCAATGCAGCCCAGTGTGGGACATTGAGGAAAACTGATTTCTAAAACAGGAGGCTTGGTGGCTTCTTCCCAGGGAGAGCTCAGAGACCTGCCCAGCAGTCCAAGTCCTGTGACCAGGGTTTGCTGCGTCCCAGGAGGTCCAAGCTGACTGAGGGAGAACAGGACAGTCCTGTGGGAGCTCCCTCCTTCATCCTGGTCCAGCCATGGAGGGAGGCCTCCTCACCTGGAAACCTCCTGCCATGTCTTCTTTAGGCGGTGAGTTGAGACAGTCTGCAGGGCCGAGAGGATGACATGCAGGGAGGAGTAGTTGTGCAGAATTTGACAGGCTTGGGGAGGGACAAGGAGCTGTCAGGTGGGCAGCAGGAACCCTACATGCTCTAGAGCTTCTGTCACACTCAGTGGACATCTCCCCTCCTGCATGAAGCACATGTCCAGGGGCCTGCAGAAGGGCACATGGAAGGCCCAGAGAGGAACACTGCTGGGGAGAGGGAGGACATGACCTCACCCCAAGGACTGAGCCAGGGAGGAACTGAGCATCCCATCTAGGGCTGAGCAAGTCAAAGTCAGTAGGCTCCTGGAAGGACAAGCCTAAGGACTGCACAATCCCTAGGGATAAGACCAGGAACTTCCACCATGAGATGTACTACAGGGAAGAGCAGTTCCCGAGGCTCAGGAAAGCAACTCAGCTGGGCCTCCCATAGCATACCTTGGCCACCTTGATCCAGTGCTCCACCACCATGGCCCTGTCCCGGGCTGTCATGCTTGGGTTGCCAAGGCAGGTGGTGATGACACAGTTGGCCACACCGTTGAACTGGGCGACGGTGGCCCAGACTGTGGGTGCCAGGTGCTCATTGCCAGGCTTATTCCGCTTGGTCCAGATGGAGCCCAGGCACTGTTGGGGCAGCACTGTCTTGAACAACTCCTAGAGAACAGGGGGACGTTGGCTCACCCAGCCATTTCACATGCAAGACTCATGTCCTTGATAGGGCTCACAGGTCAGAACTGGAGTTCAGGAAGCTGAGAATGTGGCCTGAGCCTGGTGGGAGACCCTCGATTTCATTCCATTCTTTTTCACTGAGGGAACCCAGTACAGGATGACCCAGGAGCAAATAGTGGCAAGGGAAGAAAGGAGGGCATTTGCACCCGGATGTTCCTCAGGAACTCCCAGCTCCAGGTGGTAGTTCAAAGTGGCTCCTCAGAAGGGGGCATCTACCCTTCCAACTATTCATCCCTCGGGTCCTTCTCCTCTTTCAGATGCACATTCTGCCATGATAGCTGCAACCACAGGTTTGTTGGTCAGCCCTGTCCTTAAGTACACATCAGATGCCTAATAAATGCTGGAGGGTGCTCAGCCTCCGAGGCAGATGGGTGGGCAACCCATGGCCTCGGCAGCACACAGGGAGCTGCCCTCCTCCAGCCAAGGGACCAGGGCCTGCCCATTTGTCTATCTGTTCTGGCTCATTTCATCTACATAGTAACTCTGCCCTGTTCTTCTCTGTGTCTATCTCTACAGTCCGTGGCTGGGCAGGGAAAGCTTGGGTTGAGGACCTTGATGGGTTGACAGGGTTGGGAAGTGTTGGAGCTGAGATTGGGTCCCAGACCATAGGAGTCCACATCACGGAAAGGCAGGTTTGGGCAGCTGAGAGCAGAAAGCAAAGCCTGCCCCCGCCCCACCCTGAGAGCCCAGCTGCTCACCGCATCCATGTATGTCAGTTGCTCTGCCACCAACTTGGGAGGGAAGTCCAGGAGGTCGGGCTTCTCTTCATTCAGCTGGTTCTTTGGGGTGATATACCGGTGGCAGGAAGCCTCTGGGGCCTGAGTGGGCTTGCTTTCTGTTTTGTCAGCAGGAGTGAAAACTCCGAGAAAAGCTGATGGTCCAGCTGACTGTGGCTCAGGGTCCAGAACACATAGAGAAGCTGCAAGCACTTGTTCCAGTTCTGGAACGGCTGAAGGAGGCAAGGGTGGCTCTGCCCCTTGAGGTGAAGGTTGAAACAGAGCCAGGGTTGCCTCTCACTCCATAGGAGGCCCTTTTTCTGGCTCTGCAGCTGGAAGGAGCCCTGGAGCTGGCCCTGGGGCAGGAGAAAGAGAAAGATTCATCCCTGACTTTCCATGTGCCTTTCCAAAAACAAAAACAGGACAGATCCCATGGCCTTTCAAGGAATCCCCAGCCCATGAAACGCAGCCCAGATAGTGTTCCCAGTTTGCAATCTCCCTTACCCTCTGCCTCTGCCTCAGTGGTTCCCAGAAGCTCCCGCTGCAGCAAGGGAAGGAGGGGCACGGTTCTTCAGGTCCCAGGCAAGCCATTTCAGATGCTCATAGGCCCCCTTGACCTCCAAACGTGCACATTGCAGGGACTGCCAGATATCCTGCAATTTCTGGTCAGGCCGCGTACCCAAGATGGGCAACAGGGTGCTGGGCAGAGTCATAGGTGGAGCAGAGTCAGAGGTCTGGCCTTACATTCCAGCTGCTACTCCCACAGCACCATTCTTGCTGCCTGGGTCCCAAAGGAGGGCCCTAGCCCACTTCCAACCCCTTTGGAGCTGTCCTTGCGGTAGAAGGCCTTGTCGTCCTGAAAACCTGAATGAGTCTGGATTTTCCACTTATCCTCTCCTCTTCATGGCCATGGGCTTTGTCTACTCTATGCTGTATGCAGACCAGTATCAGGCCTCAGGTTTGAGGCAGATGTGGGAGTGGTCTGCTCACCACACCTTCTGTTCTTGGCCCCAGTTGTGGTGGTGAGCAAAGAGGAGCAAGCAGAGCAAGATGGGACCATGGAAGGGTGGATGTTTTGGGCACTGACTCAGTCTAGAGTGTGCTCTGCCTCCCACAGGGCTTGGGACCCCATCCACAGCTCTCTTTGACTCATTTGCTTCTTCCCAGGAAGCCCCCCAAATTCAGCCCTCCCATGGTATTCAAGAGATCTGTGAGATCTGAGGTTCCAAAAGTCCCTCCCCAGCCACAACTCCTGTAGTCTCCCATCCTGCTCTGTCGAGGCAGCAAGACTTCCTTCTGGACTCAAAGACCTATCATGTTTTTCCTTGAGCAAATAGTCTGTCATCCTCCTCCAAATAAGGTAGATCCATTCATACCTAGAGCAGGCCATGAAGATGTCTCATCTAACCAACTCTGGACAACCATGCATATGATGTGTAGAGTGACAATCTGACCCTCTGACTAGACTGGAGATCCAGACATTGAATCGCCTTTATCGCTTCCATTATCTTAGTGACTAGAATGTGCCTGCATTCCTAGGTGCTTAATATCCATTATTGAATGAATAAATCCCCACCTGGACTTTCCAAATACTGAGGGGTCCTTGGGCTGCTCTCCCTGCTGCCAGTGTCCCCCTAATCTGGTCACATAAAGGACAAGTACCAGGACCAGCTAGATAGAATCTCGAAGTCCTTTGCAAGTAGGAAAACTGCCTACTTTCCATTGCCTTTCCTAAACCCAGAAGGACCACAGGCCTGTGAGGGTTGAACTTGAGAGCTTCTTCCCTGGAGAGAGAGAGAACTATGAACCATGAAGATGCGCAGCATGTCCAGCAGGTCTTTCCACGGAGCCAGATACCAGATAAATCCGAGCCATGTTTCCTCCTGTGATTTCCTACAGTGACCCTATGAGGTTCACCCTCTTACCACCCCACTTTTCTGAAGAGGAAAGGGAAGGTCAGAGAGGTGCTGTAACATTCCCTAGACATACAGCTAGGAGACGGGACGCTCACCCCTGTGCTGTGCATGGGGTGGGCACTAATGTATTGAACTGCTTGCCCAGGACCCGTTGGGCTGAGGTGAACACCTGGTCGATGCAGAAAATGTTGGTGATATTTGAGATGCTTCTATCCGGGAAGGATGGTACCAGGGAGGGTAGGAAGTTCTCCACTGTGCGTTCTTTGAGTGTCAGCATCGTGCAGGCCTCATCTAGGGACAGGGTTCATTCCTTTTGCCACCAGGTAGACAAGGGAGGGGGGGCAATCTAGTCAGCTTCAACACCATGAACCAACCACCAGGATGATCAGGGTCTGGCACTCAGACCATAGACTCCCATACCTTTGTGAACTTGTGTAAGAGAAGGGCCTTGAGTGTCCACCCAGAAAAAGGTTCTAGGCTTAAAAGTACAACTGGCTTTAGGGGTGAAATGATGAACCATTGGTCACTTCAACATGTTCTGTTAGCTGAGCAACAATAGCATTTCTCTCTCTTAATAGCCTTTATTAAGACCTGTAGGCCTTTGAGTCATCTATAACCATCCCTACTGCAGAAGGAGAAACCAGAGGGGGAGAATCTCAAACGCTGCTCAGGATCCTATAGGTTGGGAATGAGAACTGTCCAAAGCATGAGCTGCCTGGCATTTCCTCTATGCTGATGAGGCTTGGTCTGTTCCTGACATGGGGAGAAAAGTTCAGGGGAAAACCACCTTCCTCGGCAGGCCCCAGGGGAGCCCGTGATCTCTAGTCTGTGTTCCGGCCTTGCCCTGAGTCCTGAGATTGGACATGAATCGGGACCTCTTCTCACGCCAGACCAGCCCTGGATGTTGTTGGTGGCCTGATACATATGCTGCTTGTCAAGGGACAGGGAGTAGCTGAACATGTAGAGCAGCTCATCAAAGAGGTCCTGGGTGGAACTCTGCAAAGACAGAGCCAGCTACCTGGGCCAGGAGGCATCAGAGACCTTTCCCCAACCTGTGTGTGGTTCTATTTTCTGGCAGATCTAGCCACTAAAACAGACTTTTAGGACATTTAAGGTGTTCCTTGCAGCACTGCTGAAATGGCAACAGAATTGAATCATGTCATGTTCCACCAGCATTGAAAGGCTGAATCACTGTGGTAGATGACCAGCTTATGGAGGACTATGGAGACATATAAGGACACAGTGTGTGACCTGGTGGGCCTACAATGACGTGATGTGTTTGTTCTGAGAGATGATACGTTACAGAGAAAGATATAGAATGGTTTCATTCCACTGTGCCTATTATGTTCAATCACCCTATTAAGAGTGAGGACTTAGAAGGTTTTGGTCAAGTTCTTCAAGAACAGGGGCTTTAGGTTCTACACAAGGTAGCTGGGGTGTGTAGGGAAAATAAAACAGTAGTAAAATGCAAAGATCCTCATGGCTTCGTGAGAAGTAAAATAAAACCAAAGGAAACCAAATAACCGCCCTCCAAACCGCAAAAGTCTTTAACTATGTTCTGTACCATTCCCACATCTGAGAAGAGTATCTTTCTCCCTTCTCCCATACATGGTGACGGAGGTGTGGCTGTTCAGGTTACTCTGGGGTTGGGCCTGTGGTACACTCATGTGGAAACAGTATGGGAGGGCCCCAGGTTTGTCCCCATATTTGTGTGGAGGCCCTGAGTGTGGACAACCCTCTTCCCATTCCCACCTCAGAGCAGCTCTGATCCTGGGTGTCCTGATGCACCTGACACATGTCTAGGGAGTTGGAGTAGTTGAAGTCCCAGAACAGCTCATCCAAGATCTCCTGGGTGCAGCTCTGAAAGGGCAGTGCCCCATATATATGGGGCCAAGAGACATTAGTGTCCTCCCAGGACATTGCCAAAAGGGGACTCCCCCATGAGAAATCATGGAACACTACATCAAAAACTAATGATGTAATGTATGGTGATTAACATAACATAATAACATTTAAAAAATAAATAAATAAAACTTCAGAAAAAAAAAAAGAAATCATGTACTCCAGTTCAGGCTAAGTGGGGCAGCTGAAAAACCTTGAGCAAGGAGGTAGTCAGATGACACTCTCAGGCTCCTGATTAACCTACAAGTAAGTGAGCTTGGTCCCCAGCACTCACCTTCTCATCCTGCCTGCTCTGACCTGCGGTATGAACATGAAAGATGTGACAGGCTTCTAACCCCTGGCAGATTGCTTCTGCCAGGGAAGGGCATGTCCCTAATCCTCTGTCCCATCCTCTACACACACACACACACACACACACACACACACAATGGAGGGGTAAGAGGTGTGGGCCTGCTGAGGTGGGATCACAGTTGTCGTCTGCTCTCCAGGGGGCTGCCCTGAGCTGCCTTGTGTTACCTGTTGGAGTCTCCTGCCACATGACCAGAAGCTTCAGAAAAGAGGGCTGAGCCGACATCCACAATGACATAAAAGTTTCTCACTCTGGGCTTTCTTGGGCCCAGAGCCCCTGAAAGTGGGACACAACAACAGAACATCTTGTTCTCTTGAAAGTCTCCTCTCAAGTGAGATGGAGTGTAGGTTGTCTTTTGAATGTTCCCAGAGTTCTAGGTTCAGTTGGGGCCTTTAGGAAGGAATTGAGGTCATTGTGTCAAGATTCTAGTCCCTGGGCCACTTTGTTCAGGCAGGACTCTCCAGAGCCCCATTTGGGCACTTGACTGTTTACCTTTCTCCCCCATGTCCTCTCCTTAACTGTACACAATGAGCCAAAAATGCCATAGCCACAAGTCTCTGGAAATGTAACTAGGGCCCTAACTTTCCAGAGACAGAGCTGACGTCAGACCTTTCTTTCTCTGATTCTTTTCCCGGTACTGTGTCCTCAGTCATTGTGTCTGTCATGGATTCCCCACTTTGCCAACCTGCAGAGTGGGGATTAGGCTAGAATCGACTTCTGTGGGACATCATCAGGTGTATGTGGAAATATTTATCCATGTGAGGAATGGTATCCTGTGTATCTGAGGCACAAATTTGAGGATGGAAGAATTATAAGAAAGGGTGGGACTTGGCATGGAGGACCGCTCCAAAGAGGCCAGGGTCCCAGCAGTGTAAAATTGGAACAGTCACTTGCCCCTTGTCCTCATTTTCATGTGACACCATGATGGGGTGGAAATCCTTGAAGATGTAGACCTTGTCATCATCTGTAGTAAAGCCGTTTGTTTCCTGTTATATCAAGAATGAGACCCCGTTGTCTCATTTTGGTCTATGAGGGGAACGGCCTTCACCAGGGTTCTCAGGGATGCTGACCTGTGTTATAGGCATCCATCTGTAACCTCTAGGTGGTTAGGGACTGTTTTCTGACCCATAGCATACAGTCAACATAATGAAAGATCATGTCTAGAGTTTCTCTAGATGTCATGCAGAGAGTATCTCCCTTCCTAGTTACTTTTCTCCTGGTCCACTTCTCACTCTTTCCCTTTCCCTTTTGCTTCTCTGTCTCTGAACCAAAAAGCAAGCACAGATGTTTTGAGCTGCCATCTATAGAGGCTCACAGGGCAGAGAACTGAGGCAGTGCCAAGGCCAAAAGAGGCACAGGAACTCAGATTCTGAGTCCAAATGGCCTCCTGAATCATGGGAGCTGACATGGGAGAAAATCCTCTGTCAGTCTAGCCTCAGTCACAGCCACACACTCTGACACACCTTGAGGCTGGGGAACCAAGCTAATTAGTGCCTGGATACCCCATCCACAAAAACTGAGAGATTTAAGTATATGCACTGTAAGATGCAGGTATTGGGGCAATGCCATCACAGAGGAACAACAGATAACTAACAGTCTTCCTGGCTTCAGCATCTTTCCCTGCCCTCTCCCTCCCTCCCTCCCTTCTGTTCTCCTCCTAGTTTCCCTCCAGCCACACTGCCTGCCTTTTTCACCTCCTCTGGCCAAAGCAGCTTCGGTAACTGAGTGTCTGCAGCAGTGGTCCCTTCTTCCTGACACACTGTACCCTGACTTGTGCACATCTAGCTCCCTTTTCTCATTCTGTTCTCAGCAAGTACCTCTCCGTGAGGCCTTTCATGGCTTTCTATCCAATGACTTTCCAGACTTCATTCATAGCACACTTCACTTGTAGTAGAGTGTATTTGATCTTTTCTTTCACATGTCTTTGTTTTTGTGCTTCAGTCGATCTCTAGTCTCTGAGCTCCTAGAGGCAGGGAGCCCTAGGAATTTTCACCTCCACGCACTGGCCCACCATGGTACCTGGCATAGGGGAATGCTTAGTGTCTAGTTACTAAATGAATATTTGAGAAGCTCTTTGAGCCCACCTCCCCCTTTAACCACCTAGACTGCAGGGAGAAATGCTACTAAAAGTTTCAAGCTATTTCTGGGTAGGGGGACAAGCACAATGGCCTGTGCCTGACTCTTCCTGCTACTGTTCCTCTGGCAGAACTCACTAGGTGCCATGGACAAGGAAGCGCCCTGCATGGCGTTCTCCAGATCTCATGGGACAGCCCCAGGCAGGCACACCAACAAAGAAAGGGATGCCTTTTCTCGGGGGTCCTCAAGGTACGGGCTTTCCAGCGTCACAGGGGCAAAGGAGCATGATCTCCAGCCTCCCTGGCAGATAAAAGGACTTCAGATCCCTCCCTTTCCTCCTTTTCTGTCCACTCCCACGGTGTCCTCTTTCCTATTCCAGCCCCCTCACATCAGCCAGGAGAGTGCTTTTGCATCCATCCCTGTATGTGCAAATGAGGACTCTAAAGGTCTAATGGAGTCTGGTCCCTGGACCCCAGACACCATGTCCAGTGCTCTGACATTTTCCCAGAGAACATAAATAGATGAGAAATGGTAGAAAACAAGGTCCTCAACAGGACTAAGCTACAGGAAAATGCAACCAAGTGCATAATGAGATATCACATCACATCAATTGGAATATCTATCCGAAAAAAGACATGCGATAACAAATACTGGTAAGGATATGCAGAAAAGGGACCCCTTGGGCACCATTGGTGGGAATGTACATTGGGACTGGCACTAGGCAAAACAGGATGGAGGTTCCTCAAAAAAGTAAAAATAGAACTACCATAGGATCCAGCAGTTCCACTTCTGGAGACATACTCATACAAAACAAAGGAATATGTCCAAGAAACCCCTGCACCCACCTGCATGTCAAGAAGCCTTATTTTCAACAGTCAAGACATAGAAAACATCAGTGCCCATTAGTGGTGAATGGATAAAGAAGTGTTTTGTATATAATGGGATATTAATCAGCCATAAGGAAAGGAAATCCTACTAAATGGGATAACAGTCCTGGACTTTTAAAGCATTATGCCAAGTGAAGTAAGTGAGACAGACAAAGGCAAATACTATATATATGTAGGTATAGATATAAATAGAGAGATAGGTGATAGATACTATATATATACATAGATAGATATAGATAAATTTTTCTTTTCTAATTGGAATCAAAAACAAAAAAAAAGCAAAGGAAAAAACTAACTGAGAAAAAGAGATCAGACTGAAGTAAGGAGAAGAAACAGAGGGCAGAGGGTGGGGTCGGGATTGAGTGAATGGTGAAAAGTTACAAACTTCCAGGTTTAAGATACATAAGTCATACGGATTTACAGTACAACCTGATGACTACAGTTACTACTGCTCTATGGTGTATTTGAGAGCAGCTCAGAGAGCCAATCTGAGAGTTCTGAATCCAAAGAAAAACGTTTTCTTTCTTTTTGATTTACTTTATTTTTGTATCTGTAAGAGATGTTGGCGGTGAAAAAAACTTACTCTGGTAATCGTCTCAAGATGTATGAAACTAACATCATTATGCTGTGTACCTTAAACATACACAGTGCTCTATGTCAATTATATCAATAAAACTGGGGTGACAAATATTTTCATATTCCAAATGAGCATCAGGAAAGTTGATGTGGTAAAAAGAATGACATGTAAACAAAACTGAAAACAACAGAAGCTAAAGTCAGTAGATTATGATATGGATAAAAAAGATCCAAGCCATTTGCCTAAAAAGTGGATTCTGAGTTTAAAAATCACTGAATTCAAATTAAAGTGGATGAAATAGAATTTTAAATTTGTGTTATATTTTAAAAATTGATCAAGGAATAAAATGTCTTAATCAATTAACTCTGAAAATTACCTTTTCAAAAAACTTTTCCTGTTTTGCAGAATTCGGATTTTAAGCTTTGACGTGGGCACAGAATGAGAACATGTTGTTTGATCAAAGTTGTCTCAAGGAAAATGGCTGAAAAAAGAAGCCTGAGATAGGACCTAAATGGAAGAGTATAAATGGCAAGACAAAATTGCCCTGTGTTCATTTCTCCATATTTCCAGTTTTAAAATACAGTTTATTTTAATGTCATGAAGGATATTAAGTTCCTGTAGTACATTCTAATTGTATTAAATCATTAATATCTTTGTACAATGTCCCTCAACCCATCTTCACATCTCATTACATCTTATAAAACTAAAACTCTGTACCATTAATCAGAACTTCCCATTACCACCTCCTTCCAGCCCTTGGAAAACATCTTAAAATTTTATTTTACCAGCCTGAGAGGAGGCAGTTTCCAAGTCTTTCCCTTGGCCATCTCTACAATCATAGCCCTTACCCCACATGTGAAGGATGGAATGTGAGAATTCTGCCAGCTATCAAGTATGTACATGCCGATGATACTTTCAGGGACTTGAACATGACCATCATGGGAGTCAATGGGCCCTCTGGACCCATTGTGAGCTGGATCTTATCCTCCATATGTTGCCAGGCCTCTATGTGCACCTTCTCTAAAAAGGGTCCATGATGATTTTAGGTTCTCAGGTATCCTTGCCAATTCAGTCCCTGTGTTTAATAGTCCTTGAAAAGCTTGGGTATTCCCTTTTCTCCAGTTTACTATGGCCTCAGTTTAAGAGACTATAGATGCTCGGGGTAGAGGAGCAAGATGGCAGAGGAGTAGGAGACCTGGATTTTGTCTGGTCTCAGGAATTCAGCTGGATAGGGATCAAACCATTCTGAACACCAAGAACTCAACAGGAGATCGAAGAAAAGAAGAGCAACAACTCTCTGAACAGAAAAGCGACCACTTTCTGGAAGGTAGGACATGCGGAGAAGTTAATCTGAGGTGCTAATCAGGAGGATGGACAACAGGGGAGGGGGCCTCCATCGGCCGCTTCTGACAAGTGATAGAGTGGTGGAGCACAAAATCGGAACTTTCAGAAGTCTGCTCTGCTGAGGGATGTCGCTCCAGTGGCTAAGCAGGGGGTGGAACCCTTACTGGGACAGTGTGGTCTCAGGACCCTCCGGGTCACAGGAAGACCAGGGGTGCCTGAGTGCAGCAGAGCTCCCAGGTATTGGAGCAGGGAAGCCGGCTGCAGAAACAGAGCCTAGGAGTAGGCTCTCAGCTCAGGGTTGCCATAAACCATGATCCGTGGCACAGTCGGGCCATTGCTCT